CAGGGGTGGGGATATGGGACACTCCAGGGCATGTCTGGAACTATGAGGGTACTCTGGGGTGCAGGAGGTGATGTGGAGTACTCTGGGCAGGAATGGGATGGGAGTATTGTGGGACAGGGTACTTTTGGGATGTCTCAGTAAAGGGATAGGGCTTTGGGAGTACTTTGAGGCAGGGGTAGGGATTTGGGGCTGCTTTGGGGCAGGGATGGGGCTATGGGGTGTCCTGGGGCTGTGAGATGCCCTGGGGAAGGACAGGTCCAGGCAATAGTGTGCTCTGGGGCTGCAGGGTGCCCCGTGCCTGCTGCGGGGGTGCTCCGTGCCGGCTGTGGGAGTCCCCCCTCGCTCACCGCCGCAGGGACACGTAGTACTGGGTGATGAAGTCCCGGGCCAGCTCCAGCAACTCCTCGGGGGGTCGCACCCCCTCGGGGGTCGGGGTGGGCAGCGGCCGCGGCAGCACCAGGGACCCCAGACAGCGCTGCCCCGAGCAGGGCAGCTCCTGGGGGGGAAAGCGTGTCCCTCGGGGGCCTTCCCGGACCCCAGGGACAGAACCGCCGTCCTAGCATCCCCATCCACACCCCCCTCACCCGTGTCTGTCATCCCGGCACTCGCCAAACCGCACCCCCGGGACTAATCTCTGTCCTGGAATCCCCGTCACAACCCCCGCCAGCCCTGCACCCCCCAAACCTGCACTCCCCCCAACCCTGCCCCCTCATTTTGCCCCTCCAATCTGCCACCTAACATGCACCTCATCCCACACCCTCCAACCTCCATCCCTGTCCCCCCATCCCTGCACCCTCCCATCCTGGCACCCCCCAGCCCAATCCCCCGTCCCCATCCCGCATCCCCGTGCCCCCCGCGTCCCCCGGCCCCGCACCTGCCCCGCGGTGGCGCAGAGCGTGTCGTAGCTGATGCTCCCCGTCTCCCAGTTCTTCAGGCGGGCGAAGCGGGGGGGTTCTGCCGGGTGAGCGGGCGCCGGGCTGTGGGGGACATGGGACACCCCTGAGCCCTGCCCGGGTACAGGGGGGCCCAGCCGGGGGACAGGGGGGCTCTCGCGGTTCCGACACCGGGACCTCCCCGGGGTGTGGGGACCAGTCCGAGGGGGCTGTGACCGTCAGGGCACGGGCGAGGGAAGCAGTGGTGGTGGGGTGGGGGCTTCCGCCACCCCCGTTGCTGCTGAGGGGTGTCCTGAGCCACCGGCTCAGCTCCGTGGGGATGCAGGGGGTAAGGGTTGGGGGGTAAGGGCTGGGGTGGATCAGAAGATGGGGGTGCTGAACT